CTGATAAATAATATAGTTGTTTAAAGTAAAATGCAACAAGAATATTATATAATGAAAATTAATAAAATTGATACAGTTAATATTTTTGGTGTAATAATTTAACGATTAAACATATGTTGAGACTATTCTATTAATTACACTTATTCAGAGAGTACTAATCCACTAATAAATCACATTGTAACACAATGTCTTTTGATTGTGATAGCACAATTCATACCTATCACAATTATTGCTGTTTGATAAAATTTAGCCGACACACTCAATGTTTTGGACCATTCTGCACAACTTGCCTGATTTGAACAATGTTTATTTCTTTCCTGGCAACGACAGGAGTGGAGGCATGTCGGACTGAGGGTCTACAGAAGACGGAAGTGTCAATGCCACTTTTATGTAGGAAATGCTTTATTCGTCTTCCTAGTATTTGTGACGTTGCGTTATACTTTTGAGTTCTTTGATTTCTTTGTGGATCTAGCTTGCTTAGGTATTCAACCAAGTTAATGGAAACGCAAATTACTGAACCAGCGGCAAAGGATATGCTATTTTTTGTTTGGAGCATTGACTATTTTAATGATATATCGTTTTATTTTAATTTTTTCTAAATCAATAGGAGCTACTGTCAGTATTATTTGACTAGTAGCTAGCTATTCCTAAAGTTTGTTGTTATCTAGAGCTCGGGTAAATTTTAGAACTGTTGATGGATCCCTAGTAGGCAGGCCATATATGCTTTTAAAAAAATATTTTCTGTTATCTAAAGAATAATCATAACTGGTAATTAGAGGTATGTCTAATCGGATAGAATTCACTGTTCAGTATGTTGCAAGTTCGTTTAATATCTTAATTATTAAGCATTGAAAAACAGATACTTATATTATCAGTTGGATAACATCGAGCGTCAGTACTTCAACATAAATATTTCAATATTAAAATATTCAAACTCATCTTTTGTCAACATCTAATCTATTCCATCACGACGACGATGACAAGTAACTAGTCTTTACTCTACAACAGTGCACCACCACGCATTCACACATGTTTTCGTTGCGTAACTCTTGTGTATTCGAATGAATGGAAAGTGTGACACAAACGGAGTTGCTGCCTTTTAACTGCCCACAACATCAAACAAACTAAACGTATCGAAACATAAAATAATGGGCACTGCATGGTATCTGAAAAATGGGAGTGGTCCATTACACGAAATTTGTTCTTGGGCTCTTCACAGCCAGGCCTGAAATAGCCCGGCTGAGAGGCCGTTTTTTTGGAAGTCATACTACCGGTGGGTAGTGATAAATAGGTGGTGTTGAAGAATGGTACTGAAATAATATATTGACTTGTAGCGGAAAATAGATTTCAAACGGTTGTTGGCCAATTTGGTCAATGGCTGGAAATCAAGTGTAATGTGACACACCTCAGATGTCATATTCACAAATGTGAAAGTATTAATGCTGTATTGCTGTGTGTATACATTGTGAATTTTAGTAGTTTATATTTGTTTTTAAAGCAATGAATTGCCCCCAATGTGTTTTCTATTTTCTTGGACTTTTCCTCCAAACCCTAAACGAAACGTTTTGGGATTGTATGAATTCCTGATATTACCTTCTTTTATCATAATTTAATATTTCTCTAAATATAACCAGCCCACCCAAATCTATGATTTTTACCTAACGTTCGTCCAGTATGTCACAAATAACTTGTTACTTTAGTCTTTGTTATATTATTTAACTAGTATAATTACTAAATTAATTGAATATGATTAAAAGGTTTAGTACCCAATCGGAACATCTTCTTTTGTAGCCCACCCAAATTCAGCAAAGCCCAAGGAAAAACAGTAGCTGCAAAGCCTCTAAAAATTTCAGATAAAAATTTACTTTATTAGATCCTCGCCCTCATTATCTGATTATGAATAAAAAAGAGTATAGTCGAAGAACATTAAAGAAAACAAGTCAAAAATAACACTCATTATGTTAAATGATCCATGTAATATTGTTTACAAAATGCATATCGGAAAACATCATAAATATAACCTTATAAATGTTGCAATCATATATGTTTAATTTTTTAAAAATATTACTCACGGCATTTTTATATCATATTTACATATAGAATATTACCATATAAAATGAATAAAACACTTTCAGATTGTAGCTAGTTTGCTTTTATTTAAATCAATACTGAAAAGCCAATAAATATTTAATATTAATATTTAATATTTTACATTAAATTTATTAATAACGTATTGTTTGACTAGGCCATTTAGAATGACATTATAATTAAGTCACCTACACTACCGCTAGTAGTTCGTATTTTAACCCTATATAATCCATGGAATATTATAATTAAATCCAAAAGTATAGAGTTAAAATTAGAATGGCCTCGGGAAAACCGTAAATGTAATACGTAATAAACCTTCATCGAAGATTCCCATCAGCATCCTCTTATTCTCTTTCTTTCTATATTGGATCTTACATCTTCCTAATCTTTATTTTTATCATATTATATCTTCTTGGTCTGTTCTCCCAATATTGTTGCCTTGCCTTTGTTGTCTGATCCTTTTTTATGCCTTTCTATTAAATCCTATACTATTTAAATTATGTCAATCTCACTCTATTCTGTTGAAGTATTGCTTTTGACTACTTGAAAATCTCCATCACTTTCTATGGGTTGTGACTCTTGATATTTGTAACTATCCAAGATATACTTACTGTATGTATGATACTCTGTTTTTACTAACGTGACCCTATATCAAAGGTAATTTTATTCAAAAACATAACTTTTATGTCCATTTTACATGTGACATTTAATAACCAATGAACATGTTTTTATTATGATTTGGTTATACTTACACGGTACATTATTTTTCGAATGTAATTTGACAAGCTGATTTTATTCTGTAAAAAAATACAATGTGGAGTTGTGTATCGAAATTTATGATTTAAATGTGGTTAGGGTGTTTATTAATATAACGGATATAGCGTGTTGTAAAGTTGACCTCCTTCTATATAACGTTCGTCCAGTGATTCCATGTGTTTATTCCCACACAATACAACGACCTAGCACTTTAGTAGGACTTTTTCTTGACAGAAATAAGTTGAATTGTTTACGATTTGTCAGTGGTTCTTGAATTTTGGATTGTTATTAATTCAGGTTCGAGGTATAAGTCCAAATATGATAGGAATAACTGGAATCCACTAAAATGATGAACATGTCTTCAAGAATGATCCATTTTATAGATCATACTTAAAAATAAATTATTTCTGTTCTTAAATAGTCTGCAGACACAAAATACATCATAAAAATATACAAAAATATATAAAATATTTAAAAATATATAAAAATATATAAAAATATATAAAAATATATAAAAATATATAAAAATATATAAAAATATATAAAAATATATAAAAATATATAAAAATAAATATATAAAAATATATAAAAATATATAAAAATATATAAAAATATATAAAAATATATAAAAATATATAAAAATATGTAAAAATATATAAAAATATATAAAAATTTCATAAAAATATGATAAAATTATAAAAAATATAAGAAAAAACATACAAATATCATAAAAACAAATATATCAAATAAAGCGGAATAAATATAAATACAGAAGAAATCCTTTTATTACCCTAAACAACTGCAATAAAATTACCAACAAAATATGCTGTGGACTGGTGAATATCATTCAGATTTTAATGCCTGGTGACGACATTGTAAAGATTTTTCCTCTTCCTGTATATCTTGATGAGTACAAGACATCTTATTTTCACCACATATATCCATTTCTTAATTCTTAAGTTTTTCCAATGAAATATTTTAAAACTGTGGTGTTTAAATAAATCGAATAACTTTTTGACATTTAAAATTAAAATTAACAGTAGGGGGTTCTAATTAACAGTGCTGTTCCTAAAGTGGCGCTGGGAAACAGTGACAAAGCTTACACAGAACACGAGGCGAAATAACCTTAGCAGTTGAAGCCGATGACACAAAAAAACAGTAGGGGGTGGGTGGCTCAGTGGCAGAGTCTCTGCCTGTGGATCCAAGGGTCCCAGGTTCGAATTCCACCGTTGGCCGGGATTTTTTTAATTTAATTTAATTAATTAAAATTAATTCTGATGCCTTGGTAGGATTCCCCACTCGACCATTCACTGTTGGGTTCTAATTAACCGTGCTGTTCCTAAAGTGGCGATGGGAAACAATAACAAAGCCTACACAGAACACGAGGCTAATGGCCTTAGTAGTCGATGCCGATGACAAAAAAGAAAACAGTGGAAGCACTTTAACTTGACGTTTTGTGGAGATATGTTTTATCTTGTATTTTTAAAATCTATTTGCAAGCCTTTATTCTAGAATTCAGTGGGTAGTGGATATAATTGAAAAGAAAATTGTTTTAAGCATTTTCTGTTTTTATTTTTTAAATTGTCACCCGGTATAATTCAATTCCTGTTATAGTTTTAGCCAAAGGAGTAGTTGTTCTCCGGAGGGAAACGGTAGCTCGTATTATTTTGAGATACATGGCTATGAGATTTTCTTGTTTTTATTTATGGATATTATTAGTATGTAATCACATGTATATCGAACATATTGATTAATCGTAGATGAAAGTAATTAAATAGTGATTAATAACTACACTCAAGACAAATAACGTAATTATGGCGATCCCACAAAGGAGGAGGGTATTAAATCTTACGTAAAATAAATAAATTTATAATTAAATAGTTTATGAAGTTAAAATTATAAAAATTAAAATTAAATCATAAAGTCTAAAGTAAAATTTGTCGAATAGTAAACTCCGTTAAGATGGTAAAAACTTAACTCTCCTCAAATGATATCCTGCATGAAATAGGGTTGCAAAATTCTGATGAATTCTTATGTATATATTATTGACTTATTTTTAATAATAGTAGTTTGAATAAAGTCTCATTGTCTTCAAGAATTATTGTACTTGAACTTGAAGTAAATAAACAAGTAATAAATACGTTTCTTTGTTTCAGAACGCGCTCCTAGTGAAGTCCCTCTCGTTTGTCGAGATTCCTATCCTGGTTCGCTCACCACGAACGGAGGTATGTACACTTTTTGTAGCTGCTTTCACTCTACATAGAATTTTAACGAGACTTCATCAGTCTCTACCTACTATAAATTTAATAACATACGCCAAGTTCATACCATCCGACCATTTAATATTGATTACATACGCCGAACGATGAACGAACGCGACGATCTTTTCTATCTGGTTATCATCTTTCAACTCGAAATAATCTTGAGACGAGCTTCCTAGAGACCGAAAGAGGTGATTTAAAACACTATAAATTATAACATACTAAAATAATTTGAAGGTTAGTTTGTATTTCGTAAATCATCAATAATTCGTATGATTTTGGCGAAATCACCCATGGCCCTGTGAAATATAATATTGTATCCATATGGGAATTTTTTTAATAATATGATTGGAAAAAACGTCATAGGGCAATTACATCGTCTTATTTACAAATTTAAATTAGCCCATGTCAAAGATGGCAACTGACGTTAGTTTTGTGTTAAATTCGTATTTTAAAAAATTAATTTTTGGACCATTTTAAAAAAAATCAGTGAAGTATTTACCCAGAACTTTCCTCGATATAGAAATTGTAAAAACAGAGAACTCTAAAGCTCTTAAATTTTATTAATTTAAAATTAAAACCACCAAACCAAAAACACTTTTTCACATTTCTCTCTCAATTGATCTTCCTCTGGTTCCCACCCGTAATCTCACTTCGGGTCCACTCGTTATTCTTCGTCATGTTCACCGTTATTGAATAATAATGATTGGCTGCTTTTAAAATGGTCCAGTTACACAAACCAAAAGGCCGTTTTTTATTATTTTAATTCAAGAGGGTCCTTTTTTTTTAAAAAACTTATTTAGGATCTGTTATCTTTGACTTATTAAATTTTCAGATACCAATTTTAGTCGAAATCTGCCGATATTTTTTTGTAAAAAACTGCTCACCCTATATATAACTTATTGAAAGTATAACTGCTTTTGAGCCAGAAAGGAACCTTATCTGTATACAAAATTTAAAGTTTTTCTATTAAGACGTTTTTGAGCTATCGTGCCAACAGACAGACCGACGAAATGGGGAAACATGTTTTTCGTAATCTAGGGACCCTGATACGTGAAAATCTGAAATAATCTTTGATGGTGACTTTTTCACCATTATAATACTTTCCTCTTATCGAGCGAAATAAAAACCGAATTTGACAGATAACTAATGCAGTACTTATCCAATTTTAGTATGGGCTTTTTAAGTTTTTAAAAAAGCAGAGGTGATTACCCTATGACCTGTTTACTAATAGTAATATTAAAAAAAAATTCCATGCAACACACTGTATATAATATCCATTACTATTATATTATTTCGGGAGAGGCATATTCAAAAGATCTTTGTTTTGTCTTTATTTGTTAGTCAATTTTCTGAGATCTGTGTGTATTGATTAATTTTTAATAATGATTATTTTTCTTTTTAGTCGGTTGAGGACTACTTTATCTTTGGGAAATCTGGCGAATTGCCATTTTTCGGGACTTTCTCTTTTTATTTATTAGTTGTTTTATTTCTGTAGGGCATACATTCGCTATCTTTTTTTTTGTAATTTCTGGTGTGTTGTTCCATGATGCTCGCTGTATGTCAATGATAAATTTTTCCAACTCGTATAGTTTTTCTTTTGCATTCAGTTAATTTATATTACTTAATTCATCTTTGATAATGAAATACTGTAAATAAATTGCTAATCAAACAGCTAAAAAAAAAACAATTGATTGTGTATAGAATATTTAAATATTTCTTTTCGCAACAGACATATATATTTTGAAAATAGAAAATGAAAGTCTCCCAATATGAGGCCCATATTTTATGTAATTCAGTGTAATTCATTGAAATTAGGATATAAACATTTTAGCAATGAAATCTTATTTTGTCAAATCCATTTTCGAAATTTTAAGTTATACTAATACTTTTTAAAAGGTACATGAAATAATTTTTGAGATGAGTTGAACGCAACGGTCGCATATATTTGTAAGTTCAAAGTTTTTGTTTTTGCAGCCAAAATCCAACAAAATTATAGCTATTAATTATTTCTTTGGGTTATATATATCTGAATTAAAATGTAAAGGAATGTATACTTAGTTGCTGTTTGGTTAAACAAGCCAAACTCTTACGAAATTGTTGTATTTGATTCATACTTACCATGGTTTTAAAAATCTATAGTGAATAATTAGAATCATAAAAAATAATGGCAACACAGGAGTAATAACTTCTATATAATATGATGTATTTGACCCTATGATGTACTGCAAACACACAGTGAAACTGTGGAAGAATGCGTTTCTCACCAATGAATATTGTTGAACGTTAACAATAAAAAAATATGTCCTTGATATCAGGATAGCTTTTTTAGAAGATATAGGAAAAAGTGGTAAACGTATTACTGAGTTATACATGGTGTTTGTAAATAAGTGCGAAAGATTTTAGGAGGTGGTTGCCGAAGTTATTTTGTTGAAATTAAAATCCTATAAACATAGGTTTCCGATATACAAGGTGTCTAATTTTTTTTTATTTTTTTTTTAATTATTTCAAATAGTTTTAAAGATATTTACTCGAAACTTGTAAAACGCTTTCGAGGGATAAATGTCAAATTTTTGGGGTGGTCCGAATATCTCTTCTTGTACCAGTGACGTTCATGTGAGAATCCTGCAACTTTTTTTAATAAAGTAAATGGTGCACCACTGACTTTTTCCCCCCGAATTTTTGAACAAAATAATTTCGGCAACCACCCCCCTAAAATCTTTCGCACTTTTTTTTTAAAGTCGAATGTCCCCAAATTCGTTACCTACAGCAAGAATCAAGTAATGATCGCCTTATCCTAAATAATAAAGTGGTTAAGTTTACCATAATCTACTATAGATTTTCAAAAGGCTGGATTAACTGGAATTAACTGGTCATATTGGTGTTCTTAAACATCAAAATAATATCTGGTTAAACCTAAGATAAAATTTTAAACACGTTTTTCTCAGAACTCTTTTGATACCACCTTTAAGCTTAGCACGGCAATAAAGATACTCAATACAGCAAATTAAAACTTTTCTTCTTACATGAAATAAGCAGTTTACATTTTTGATCTCAACAAACTGATGATCCAAATTGTTTTTACTTGATCAAATGGTACTGACTTTTTAAATAAATCATACATTTCAAATTTTGTAAGGTTTTATAGTTAGATCAAATGTTTATATTACTTATCATCCGGGTTCGGAGGATATATATCAAGTGATATATATCATGATATATATCATGATATTTATACCTTGATATATATCTGATATATTCGATAATTTTATTCATTGAATTAAAAATGTTTTCCACTATTCTGAACATCCGAAAATGTCTCAATATGCCCCTGTATAAAAGTATAATAACTAGTGATTTATATGTGTCTGTGTTAAAATATTAATTTTAATAAAATAATGTTAAAATCTGTTTATTTTATTAATTATTTTTGGTTTTCTTTTTAATTTGAGTTAGAATAAACGGTTTTGTTGTTTAGAATATAGGTTTTTGTTAGTATGTTTGTGTTAAAATTTAAAATATAGTTTGTGCAAAAAACAATACTGTTTTTTAATTAAATATTTAAATTTTAAAAATGATATAATCGGATATGATATATATCAGATATATATCAGATATATATCATGTGATATGATATTTATATAAATATCATGATATTTTCGAACCCTGCTTATCATCAAACTAGAACTAAGGGGATTAAATCCTACTAATTGCACCTAAATCATTCTGGCAGATGTACAAGATATTTATAAATCGTAAATAGATACTAATTAGATATTGAATGCATCGTTTAACTCGTTATTAACGTACACATTTTAGGAAATCTAATCACAGGAGCCCAACAAAATTTTGCTTAGTTAGATACTGAACTTTTGTTATTGTTATAATCGAGGTTATAATATTTAAAGTTGACGCAGAACATTTTAAAATTAGAGGTTTGTGTTAAAAACTGCCTTTCTAATATTTACAGTTTATAAAATCCGTTTATTATCTAGACTTTAAAGTGATAGGTCCTGCATTTGTCTAATGTAACACACAACGTTTATATCATAATAAAGCCGCAATATTTTCGGTAAACACTATATATATTATATTGATGGAACCTTAAGCTATTGTATCAAATATTCCTATCAGCATTTCACGATACATAGTATGAAAAACAATCATTATGTGCCTCTTGTTTTTTGTTTACTACCGAATAAAACCATGCAGGCCTACTTAAATACCTTTCAGGCAATCTCTGAAAAATGTGTCGAGAGTAGTTTTCAATTTAAACAATTTTTTTCCGATTTTGAATTATCAATAATTTATCAGTCTGTACGTGCGATGTGGCCCAATTCAAAATTATCCGGTTGCCGATTCCATGTGGCTCAAACTTGGCACAGAAAAATTCAACTGGGTTTGACTACTGCTTACCAGCATAAAGCATCGGAAATACGATGTTGGTTATGATCATCGAGTTAGAATAAAGTAGAGACGACAAACACTATTTTACGATATGACAGTTGGATGCACTTCGAATGATTTTATATTTGAAAATGAAAATGATTTTGTCATTTAAATGAAGCTATTTAAAAAAAATTGGATTTATTCTAACCAAAACTGACTATCTCGAATTTGATAATGACGTAAAAGTGTAGTGCAAAGGTGCGGACACTTTAGCATCGTCATAGCATCTCTTCTTTATTATGTCTCAATGGTAATGATGGATCTTTGTTTTGCCATTTTTGGACCCCTCTGAGGTAAGCAACTGTTTTATGTACGGCTTCCACTGAAAAAACAACTAATGCATGCGAATCATTTCATACAAGATTCAATTCGTCATTCTATAATGTGCATTCCAATATTTATGCATTTTTAGACGTCCTTAAAAGTATGCAAATTAGTACGTAATATAGAAATTAATAATATCTATATCACAAAAATTTGGACATAGATCACTTTTTATTTGTAAAACGAGCGTC